CGTGTGCCCCAAACTTAACTCCTTGTCTTCTACCTCACCCATGCCTCTTCCTACATCCCTGTGTACAAGTGAGTATACCAAAAGCACAGTTCTAGATCATCATCAAATCTCTACTATGTGCCATTGTTTTTTGAACAATCAAAATACCTTAATCTCTCAGACATTTCCAAGGTGTGATTTCAGTGCACACCAGTCTTACATTATCTCCCCACACTCTCACAGTCTCTCAGTCAATAGAACCTCATGAATCCCCATATCACTTTCATGTTTTCCCAGTTTGTTTTAAAATTCCCCTTTTAGACCTTTATATGCCTTTATTACTTAGCCTTCAAGATTCAGTTTATATGGTAATTCAGGAGCCTTCTGGTTGCTTCCCTTTCTTTGAATCCGCGTGACATTTTTTTTACAGAGAGAGACACAGCGAGAGAGGGAACACAAGCTTGGAGAGGGAGAGAGGGAGAAGCAGGCCTCCTGCCGAGCAGGGAGCCCGATATGGGGCTCGATCCCAGGACCCCGGGATCATGACCTGAGCTGAAGGCAGACGCTTAACGACTGAGCCACCCAGGTGCCCTCCGCGTGACATTTTTATTTTCCCTCTTATTGACAGAATTATTTGTTGACATGTCTTTTCCTCACCCCTTGCTCAGTACCTGATGCATAGTGTGCACTCTGTTGAATGAAGTAACTTGTCCTACTCTAGACTGAAGACAGGATGTACTGCACAGAGGAAAGAATTAGACTGAGGCAGGGGTAGAATTTGGAGAGCAAAGAAAAGCAGATGGAAATGTGTGAGTGATGGAATTATGTGCACCAGGCACAAATTGCTAATTTTTAAAGAATTGGGATGCAAATAAATTTTTTTTTAAGTTAAACTTTGATTATTGGAATGATACTTTACAGTCTTAGAGTGCTTTCGAAGACCCATTATGGAAATTACTGTCAATGCAAAAAAAAAAGAAAAAGCCACTTGGTTTATTTTAGTTTTCTTCTTGTTGGGTTATTGGGATTCTGCTTTTCCAATCATTTTTTTCCTGCCTCACGGTTGTAGTATTCCCTGAAGCAAACAAGATCCCCTTCAAAAGAGATCTTGATTTAGTGGGAAGAGTGTTGTATTTGGACGGTGGAAGATGGGTTCGAGTACCAGCACACCTAATCATATGGCTAAAATCAACACTGCCTATTTCACAGGATTGTTTTGAAGATCAAATAAGGTGAAGTATTATGAAGGTGGTTTGTGAACTATGTAACACTATATAAATGTGAGGAATGGTTATTCCCTCATGTTTGCAGACCTAGACTATAGGCATTGGAGGGACTCTTAGAGAGCATCTAGTCCATGAGAAAGGCAGTGTGGCATAGTGGAATGAATATAGCTTCTGATATTAGACTGACTTAGGTTGGAATTCTGCCTTTTGCCTTAAGCAAGATACTTGAGTCTCTGATTTTGATCTGACACACGGGGATCATAGTAGCTACTGAGATTGTAAGGATTAAATAATGTATACGAGTAGTCGAGTACATAGCAGGTGCTTAGTAAATACCAAAATGCCTTCCCTTGATGAGCATTGTTAACTTTCCCCTTTCAGACTGGGAGTCCCTATCTCCTCTTAGGCATAATCTCTTGCCTTGGAATTCTGGAGGTTGATCCCTACTGGAAGAGCAGAAGTAAGGAAGGAACACTTCGTTCACTCTTGGTTTACATTAGTCTATGTGTTGGCCCTTCCTGCCAAAGGTGCCCTAACAGGCCCAGTTGCCCCAAGAGACTTTAAGAATCAGCTGTTACAGAAAGAGCCTGGAGATGCTGTTGCATGGTCTGACAAGAGTCCATGTAAGGGTAAGACTCAAGAAAAACAGCTGCCCAAGGCCCCCACAGTGTGCTCTCTCTCTGAGCATGTGCAGGGGCCTGCCAAGACTTCCTGAGCTCCTGGCTTGGTCCCCAAGTAAAGGTTATTAGAGCATGAAGTCTGAGTTAGCTCATTCAGACACAAACCACAAGTAAGATAGGCTTCGGCCATCTTCCAAAAAGGGCCTCTGTGCTGCAGTTGGCTTTTACTACAGTTGGCTACCTTGAATTCCAGCCACAGATACTCCTCCCTTGTTGACTCTTGCCAAACAGTCCCTACTAGTCTGGGAGTCTGAACCATTAACTCACTATCATAAGACCTACTTTCCCTTTGTTCTTTTCAACTATTCCAAATTCTTCCTTCACATTGTTAACCCTGCCAACTACATTGCACTGCTAAATCTAGTAATTCTGTGGACTCTAGGGGGGCCACAAACCCTCTGACTTCTCACAGATCTCCCCAAGCAGTATGTTCTGGCAGAAAGAGCCAGAGAGACACGGTGCTGAGTCCCAGATCTCCATTTTTGTGTTTGGACAAGTTCCTTAATCTTCCTAGTGTTTTCCAGTCTGTAGAATGGTTTAAAAAGACTGACCTCAAGGGTTGTAGTACTAATAAAATGAGATAAGTGGGCAAAGCATATGGCCTCCAGTCTGATAGTAAGAGTTTAGCAAATCTTGAACTGATTCCCTACTCTTTCCCAGATGTGCCTGAATTCGCCTGGGGAATTAATTACCCTAAAACTTTTTTTAGGCTCCACAATCAATAATCAATAGGCACAATCAATAGGCAAACCAACAAGACAATAAATAAAGCACAAACCTTCTTTTCTCTTTTCTTTCCCCCTTTCTTCCTCACCTTAATTCCTTTTCCTTTTCTATGCTCTCATTTTTTTCCCTTTCTATTCTTTTTTTCTTTTGTATGTGTGAATGTGGGTCCTTTTATTTCTTTTCTGCTTCTCCTACCATACCTTAGCCAGGGTCAGGAGCAATTAAGGCAATATTTTCACTGTGACAGATCAGAAAATACAAGAGGTCAAGAAAGAGAATTATTCTAGGGATGCCTGGGTGGCTCAGTTGGTTAAGTGTCTGCCTTCGGCTTGGGTCATGATCCCAGGGTCCTGGGATTGAGCCCCATGTCTGGCTCCCTGCTCAGTGGGGAGCCTGCGTCTCCCTCTCCCTCTGCCCCTCCACCCCTGCTCGTGCTCTCTCTCTCTTCTCTCTCTCAAATAAATGGATGAAATCTTTAAAAAAAAAAAAAAAAGAAAGAGAAGTATTCTAGAATGGAACCAAGTTTCTCACTTCATGCCCTCAGCATTGAAAAATGCATTATTTATGTAGATCTAAACCACTGTGGGTTAGGTAAAAATTGAGAGGAAGACTCCCTAACCATTCTTAGTATGGCCAGACCACCCTTTTCTTCCTTTGTATCTTACTGATCTGTTTTCAAAGTGATGGGCTCCAAGGCCAAAACACAGAACTGTGCCAGGCAAAGCCTTTTGGGTTCCCAGGAGCAGAATGAGGTGAGGCAGTGGGAAAAGAAACCATAGGCTGGTAGAAAGAGAAATGAACTATGAGAGGTGGCAGAATTGGAGCTCTCTGGGCTAGAGACCTTGACAAAATCACTGTTCTTTCTGCTTCCTTATTCCTCTCTTTACTAAATGAAAAGAAAAATTCTCACTTACCTGTCTCATAAGTTGATTAGGTGGATCAAACATGAAAGTGCTTGTAAAATGTGAAGCAGGTAAACTGCCGCTTAAATGAAACGTACCATTATTTACAGTTATTCCACTACAAAACCACCTATTTCTTGACATCCACTGCTAGGCATTGGAGAACGTAAAGAATAGGAAAGGGTCCTTATCTTCTTTTTTTTTTTTTTTTTAAGATTTTATTTATGTGACAGTGAAAGACAGCGAGAGAAGGAACACAAGCAGGGGGAGTGGGAGAGGGAGAGCAGGCTCCCCGCTGAGCAGGGAGCCCGATGTGGGGCTCCATCCCAGGACCCCAGGATCATGACCTGAGCTGAAGGCAGACACTTAACGACTGAGCCACCCAGGCGCCCCAAGGGTCCTTATCTTCTAAGGAACTCAAAAGCCAGAGGATGTTTCTAGGATGAGTACGATGGGTCTTCAGACAGTGGACCTGAAGACTCAGGACCTAGAATCAGCTTTGGGGAGGCTCAGGTCAGGCTACTGAAAGGTGCAGAGTGACAATAACAATATCAAGATGACTTAACCCCATATGTGTGCCCCAAACTTGCTTTCTATGTGTGTCACCAAGGTAAGGACTGAAGCAGCTCAAATGCTCCATGAGCAGGAGGAAGCTGTGGGATGATGGGGAAGGTCCCCACAAAGCCTGGAGCCTCGTCAGCATCAGAAACCACAGGAAACCAGGTCAGTGCGTGGGGCCTGCTCCCTCAGCTCCAGGGCTCAGCTATGTGCTCTGGGGCTTCCTGAGCAGACGGTACTGATTAGGGGATCCTTGAAGCTGGAGGCCCCTTTGGCATGGAGCCCTTTGCCCAGAAGAGCTGGGTGGAGACAGAAAGCTGGGCTATAGTCTTGAGGGTCAGCCAGGTGGGGAGTAGGATGCATATGGGGGCATGTGAGGTTTATGTGCATCCTACAGTGACTTTTTGTTGCTTTGCTCAACTCTAAATGGTGCCTCAGTCACCTCTGTCTCCAGACCCCATTGTAGAATAGTGCTTAATAGTTCCTTAATTCTCTAAGTGAGGGGATGAAGCAAATCTCCAAGGAAGCTCCAAGTCCAAGAGCGTTAGTGGGCGGGTCAGATCTGCAGGGTGTTGCAGGAGTAGGAGGGGTTAAGAAGTGGGGACAGCCCTCCATCCCCCTAACCCTGTGCTGGCCTCTTTCCTGTTATTTCTCTGCCAGAGCAGGAGCCCCTTGCCCTCCAGGTGGGAGGAGTAGGGCTTTCTGGGGGGCAACCGTCCTTCTGTCCCTCCGCTAGGAGAAGAAGGAATGTGGCCTGGCTGGCTGGTTAGGATCTAGGATCGAGGAGGAGCTTTGGGGCAGGGCGGGGCAGGGGCAGGCAGAGACGAAGACTCCTGCTCACTGCCCTCCCGCGGCTGCACAGCAAGGGCCCGCTGCCCACCTTCAGGCTGTGCAGCCATGTTCTGGGCGCTCTGACCCCACAGAAGCCCATGGGGAGCCCCAGATTGGCAGCTCCGCTCCTGCTTCTCCTCCTGCTCCTCATTGGCCTCTCTGCCTCGGCCGGAATTGGCTGCCCCTACCTGCCCCGCTGGAGCACCCACTGTCTGCTGGCCTCCCACATGGTAAGGTAATGCTGCCGCTGCCCAGTAGGGACATCTCCCTGCTACAGGCTGGTAAAGCTCCCCGCTCTTCTGCCTGTCCTCTTATATCTCCCAAGTCCCTGTGCCCTGGTAGCAGCCTCAGTGCGTCCTCTATCTGGTCTTGAAGGGGTAGCCAAGGTTCTAGTCTGCTGAAGGCCTGGGCAGGGTCGAGCTGGGAAGACAAGGGCCAGAGTGGATGGGTTATTAGGTTATGGGCCTTGGAATTAGGTGATTTGGGGCAAAGACCCCAGGGAGAATCCCCCCCCCATAGGAATCCCTACTAATAATTCTTCTCTCCTTTCTTGCCCCTACTGGGCCCTGTGCCTTCAGGAAGACACTCTCACTGGTGAGTCTCATTCCCTGCCCTGCTTCTCTTCTGCGTCCCTTTTGTTCCACATCCCTAGCGAACTTTCCATTCAAATTTTTGGCTCCCAGCTTGGGAAGTAGCATATCAAGGAAAAAACACAGGGTTTAGAATCAGTACAAGCCTGGATTTGCATTGCATTTCCACCACATACTCCACGTGTAGCTGAAGGCAGTGCACTTCGCCCCTCTGACTCCCCGTTTCCGAGGGGTAGAGCAGGGTTGTAGAAATGATTGCACCACCCCTGAGCTGTAGGGAGGATTAAAGGAGAAACAGAATAACCTCTAGGCACTCGCCCTTAACTGGTTCCTCATTCCTGTCAGTGCTACAACAACGATCTTTCATATCTAATGGTACATTCTGGTTTACAAATCATTTTCCCACACATTATCTCACTTGATCTTGACAACAGTCCTACTTTATAAATGAGGAAGCTGAGGCTTAGAGAAGTCCGTAACTTGCGCAAAGCCACACATCTCAGCTTCAAGTCCACTTGTCTGAGGCAGGAGGGACCTCCTTGGACCTTACCATTTGATTTACTTTTCATCTTTCCCAGGAAGGTCTGCCCATATTCCTTGCCATACCCAGTTGGCCTTTCCTGTGTCCCTAAAGCCTTGGTGTGCTCAGCTCTGGCTCTGCCCCTATCTGTGCCTGCGTCTGGTGTCAGATCCTTCAGGTATGAAAAACAGCCCTTTTGGCTATTCTCAGTGGAGATGTGAATTAGGGGTTTTTTTGGGGGGGAGGCCCAGGCTGAGGAAAGTGGGATTTATCATACTAGAACAGATGTCTCTCCTATTGTCAACCTCAACAGAGACACGTCACCCTAAAGTAGCATACCACGAATTATATTCATGGGTTCAGTATCATTTTGTGAAGGTATTTCTCCTTTCCACTGGTATGGATGCTTGAGATTAAATTGTTTTAGTTCTATGAGTTTACTATTATTACGTTCTATTTGCAAAGTAAGATCTTTTTTTTTTTTAAGATTTTATTTATTTATTTGACAGAGGGAGACACAGCAAAAGAGGGAACACAAGCAGGGGGAGTGGGAGAGGGAGAAGCAGGCTTCCCACTGAGCAAGGAGCCCAATGTGGGGCTCGATCACAGGACCTTGGGATCATGACCTGAGCCGAAGGCAGACGCCTTAACACTGAGCCACCCAAGCGCCCCGATCTTTCTTATTCAACTCTATATTTTCATTGCCTAGCTCAATGCCTGGCACATGCTAAATGTCCAAACACTGCTTAAGAATTCGCAGTTTCTAATTTTTCACTGTTGTAAATAATGCTACAATGGACACTTTTGCATATATGGAATTAATCTTTTTTTGGCTGTATCATAACTTTCAGGACTAAAGAACTTGATACCATTATCCTCCATGATCTGAAATGACTTACTATCTAACATCAGGCCACATTTCCAGGTAGGAGAGGGGCAGTGAAGGGCTGGATAGTAAATATGTCCTTTTCTGCACAGGCCTCCCGGAGGGCTGGTTCCACCTCCTTGTGCAGAAATACAAAAAGTCCTATAAGTTCCAGTTCTGTAGGAGACACAAGATGCCAACATCTGCTCAGGTACTCCCCCTGCCAGTTCCAGCCCTGCCCTCCACCCCACAGCCCTTTCATTCCCAGCCTCTCGTTTTGTTCTCTAGCCACATGAAAGATAGAAAGCATGGCAATGAAGTAGACTATTCTGTCCATTACACAGTTAGGGAAACCAAGGCCTAAAGATTGAGCGACTTGCCTGTGGTGCCTCAGGTTCCAGAAGCAGGAATAAAAGCCTGATTCCTGGCCTAAGGCCAACCATGTTCTCTGCCTACAGAGGAAGCTGCTGAGTAGCTGTTGCCTGTCTGAGAAGGGTCATCACATCGCTGTCTCCTCCCCAGACATCTCTCACAAGGGGTTGCGCTCTAAAAGGACCCAACCTTCAGATCCAAAGGCATTGGAAGGTCTCCCCAGACCCAGCTCACAAAGGCATGAAGGTAGGCATAGGGTGTGACCAGAGATGGGTGCAGCCAAGTATTGGTGCCTATGCCTAGGCCAAGAGACAAGGCTACCAAGTCTCCCTTCTCCCCAGGGCCCGAGTTCTCCTTTGATTTGCTGCCTGAGGCACGGGCTATTCAAGTCACCATTCCTCCGGGACCTGAGGTCAGCGTGCGTCTTTGTCACCAGTGGGTCCTAGAATGTGAGGAGCTGAGCAGTCCCTTCGACTCCCAGGTATGGAGTGTTGTCTCCCTTTAAAAAGCCAGATCACACAGTTCTGGAGCAAAAAGTACCTCCCCATTGTATACATGGGGAGACTAAGGCCCAGAGAGGGACAGTCATTGTCTAAGACCTCCCTATAAGTCCGAAGTGCCTAGCATTAAGCCTTCTTTGGATTAGACAGAAAATGCAGGGGTCCTTGTCACCTAGGAGGAAAGGAAGGAAAAGGGCAAAGAGAGACTTGGAGCAACCATGAATGCCTAGCAGAGAAATGAATACAGCATATATCCCCAGTGAGAAGACCCTCAGCGAGATTCCGGTTGCCTTAAGAAGGCTTTTCAGTTCCCCCAAGAAGCGGTCACATCTATCTTGGTACCCTTCCATCTCCCTCCTTTTGCTGCTGCCCCTCAGAGAATGAGATGTTCCCCATTCACTCAGCCCAGGCCTCATACCCCTCTTCAACCTCCAGTTGCTGTAGATGCCCTGGTATGTGGTTGGTACCATTTGCAGGGACTGAGGCTGTACCTCAGAGGCCCTCAGCTCTCTTCGTTTCTAAATGAAGATCACTGTGATGCTAGCGTTCAGTTAGTTGAGTTAATGCTTCTAGCACCTAGCACCCTATCTGGCATACAGTAGGGGCTCCATAAATGTATAATCCTTTCCCTACTCTCTCCCTCTCCCCACTCCATATATTGAGATACCTAGAGCAAATAGACTACAGAGCAGGGACATGCCCCCCCACCCCAAAAGGAAATTTCTCAGATAAGAGGAAAAACAGGGTGTGTTGGCCAAGGTCCCAGCTTCCTACTGCCCTTGTCCGGGGTGCCTAAGCTCTTTCTCAGGCATTTCTTCTCTCCTTTTGCTGCTCCATCAACAGAAAACTGTGTCTGGGGGCCATGCCGTAGAACTGCCTTATGAATTCCTTCTGCCCTGTCTATGCATAGAGGTGAGCAGAGGGAAAGGTCTGGGTTGTCCATGGCTCCACTTCTAGGTCTCCCAGAGGCACAGTTGGTCAAGCGTATCTCCAGTAAGTCAGGTCTTAAAAAGACTGGGTGTTGAGTTGATGCTTGGGAAGATGGCTACCAGCTTGACTGTGAGCCACACACTGGGTCAGAGATGGAAGTGTCCTGCTGAACATGAGATATTTTGGGGGGGTGATTCCAACCTCAGTCCTACCCAAACCCAGCTTTCCTAGGTTCAGACTGGCCTCAGCCCACAGAGACAGAATACACAGTTGCCTTCACTGTGTGTTCTGAGGAGTCATGGGGTGGGGGGTGGGGGATGGGGAGGGCATGTGTGGCCACTGCCATGTCCCATATGGCTCCAAAAGTCTCGTCCCCATGAGCCCTCAATGGCAGTCTCCTGCTCCTTACAAAGCTGAGATGCTTAGCATTAAGATTTCTTTGGACTAGACAGAAAATGCAGGGGACTTTGTCGACCAGGAGGAGATAAAAGGGAAGGTACAGAAGGACACGTGGGGCAGGGAGCAGCTGCAGGGGTGGACAACCTCCGGGTGTTTAGGTGGCCCAGAGGGAGGGGTCCGTACAGGGCATTCCGTGGGAAGCCAGGGAAGCTAAAAGTGGAGGAATGTGGACCTCCCCTCTTTCTGGGGAGGTTAGGTTCTCCTGTCCAGGGAGAAGAGGACTCAGCCTCCCATTTACTGATTTTGCTCCTAGACTCTGGTCATGCCCCACCAACCCTTGCCCACACCCTGCACCGCTTCCCCTCCTCCATGCCCCACCGGCTCGGGCAGCTTGCATCAGAGTGAGGTCAAGCCAGGAGTTTCAGGTCTGAGTGATAGAGGAGAAGAATTTCCTATGACCCTCCCTGACTGTTCCCCTGTCCTCCCAGGCATCCTACCTACAAGAGGACACCGTGAGGCGTAAAAAATGTCCCTTCCGGAACTGGCCTGAAGCCTGTAAGTGCTGCACATGTGCATTCACAGCCTCTCTCAGTCTCTTACACACACGCCCACACACATTGCACACCTGTGTTGTGGTGGAAGCCCCCAGAAGGCATGCAGGCACTTTCCCTGGAGTTGGTGGGGGGAAAGGGCTACCGTATCTACCAATCAGAGTATTGAACATTGCACTAGGTGCTGTGAGAGGTTCAGGAATATGAGACCCAGGAGGTAGTGTCCTAAGAGGATGGCCCCAAAGTCCTGGGGTCACATCCCACTTATTCTTCTCTGAACCTCAGTTTCTTCATCAGTGAAATAGTGATACTTGCCCTGCCTTACTTTCCAACTGTTGATGAGGCTTGCATTCGATATTGGATGTGAAAGTGGCTGGTGATGTCTAAAATGCTGTGTGCATGTTGTCATCCCCAAGTTAAAGAGACAGGGCCCTGAAACACAACAAATGAATAGTGCAAAGCAGCCTAAAGTCCAGGGCACTGTTAGAATTGAGGACTGGGCTGTAGGCCATGAACTCAGGAAAGGGAGAAGCCTGTGAAGGCGGTCTGATCAGAGGTCTCTTACAGGAGGTGACACGTGAGGTGGGCTCAGAAAAGGGGCAGTATTTCAAAAGGAGAGTAGCAAGGGGAACATCCCTGGTTCTGAGAGGAACCTGAGCAAAGATCTGCAGATTTTGACTTTGGGGAGCAGCAGAGAGCTGGCCAGAATGGAGGCACAGGAAGGAGGTGAGACAATGAAGTAGAAAGGTCTTGAAGAAGGCATGCTCATTTATTGGATACCTAGACATGCCAGCAACTGTGCTGGGCACCTTCACAAAGTCATCGCCTGGTGCCCCCGGGGATGGGGATGCAAAGTGAGGCTGAGGCCAAAGCAGGGCCCAGGCCTCCCCAGGCCTCACTCTCTGTCCCTGCCTGCTGCCCGCCCAGATGGCTCGGACTTCTGGAAGTCAGTGCACTTTACTGACTACAGCCAGCACAGTCAGATGGTCATGGCCCTGACCCTCCGCTGCCCGCTGAAGCTGGAGGCCTCCCTCTGCCAGAGGCAGGGCTGGCACACCATCTGCGAAGACCTCCCCAATGCCACGGCTCAAGAGTCAGAGGGGGTGAGACAGGCCACCCCGGGACTTGAGTGGGCAGGGCTGGGGCTCAGGGCCCTGCTCCCTGACTAACCCCCTTCTCCTACCACAGTGGTATGTCTTGGAGAGCGTAGACCTGCACCCCCAGCTCTGCTTCAAGGTACAAGTGTGGGTGACAGTGAATGGGAAGGGGTATGGATGGTGCCTGGAGCTTGCTGACTTGCCATTCTTGGATTTCTCAGTTCTCGTTTGGAAATAGCAGCCATGTTGAATGCCCCCACCGGACTGGTGAGCCGTTAAGTGACCCTGCCTGGGACCCCCTTCCACCATTGAACCCTTACCCAACGGTGACCAAGCCAGACTGGAGCCCTGTTCTGATTTCTCTGGCAACTACAGCCCAGCTCTTATCACCTCCTGCAAACAGAATGTCTCCCATGATGCCCTTTCCCACCCCGGCAGCCCCATCCTGGAATGTTAGCATGGATACCCAGGCCCAGCAGCTGGTCCTTCACTTCTCTTCAAGGATTCACGCCACCTTCAGTGCTGCCTGGAGCCACCAAAGCTTGGGGCAGGACAGCTTGGTGCGCCCCGTGTACAGCATCAGCCAGGTATGGCCTAGCCAGGGCCCCCTCACCCCGCCCCCCCCACCCCGTCTTGTTGCTCAGAGCACAGCAAGTGGAGGCCAGCAAATATCTAACTTATATCATCTGGTTATTTATTTACTTGCTCAATCTTTGTTCAGCTCATTCCTCTGCCAGTCAGTGAGTCAGTGAGGGCTTCCATGGAGTAGTTTCTAATCCTTTTAGTTTCTGAACTTACAGGAGATAAACAGAGGCAAGAGACTGGCCGTCCCACATCCAGCTGTCCTCTGACCCACTCAATCTTTCGCCACATTTTGTACCAGTGCCCTCTCTTGAACCCAGCTGTCCTCTACCCCTGTGTTCCTGTTTGTCTCCACAAGGCACTTGGCAGACTTTCCCTAACTATCGTGGGAGGCAGAGCCCCTGGAAGCTGAGGTGCTCTTTGCAGAATACTGTGAACTACTGACAGATTTAACTTTATTATGTGAACTAAGAACAGTTTGACTAGCAGACTTTCTTCTGTGTATCTGATACAAAAACCACAATCAAATATATCCGTCAAACCACAGCGCCAATCTGACTAAGCATGACTAGCTCTTTCCAATTCTTTCTTAAATGCTCACTTGTAGCTTGCTTATTTGTCTTGCATTCTGTGAGGGCTCCCAAGCAGATAGGTGGTAGCAAATGTTTAAGAATGTTTAAGATTTAACACAGAGCCATGCTTAAGATTTAAGAGAAAGTCCCATGGGATAACCTAAAATTGAGAGCTAAATCCATGGACTCAGTTGTTTCTGTGAGCTGGGAGAAGACCACCTTCATTGAGTTCAGCCATGATTTGAGAGTCACTGCATCAGCATCTGCTGGATGGAGATTCTGGTCAACTCCCTAACCAACACCCAGAACATAGGGTGGAGCCATATCCTGCCCATATATAGATGGCAATCAATTCTGTCCAATTTAGCATGCATTTATTGAATCCCTACTCTGTGCCTACCCTGTATTAGGCCCTGGGAGATACAAGAAAAGTATATAACACAGTCTCTGCCCTTAAGGAGTCCACAGTGTAATAATAACTACTACTACGGAAGGAATACACCCTGCACTGTGTATGATAGAGGGTGTTAACATGCATATTCTCATGGGATGCTCTCAATAACCCAGTAAAATAAAGATTATTGTCCTCATATACAAATGAAGAATCTGAGGGTCAGGGAGGGAGGGAACCTATCTTACAAAGATCACACAGCTAGGAACCACAAAGGCAATAGTTAAGCCTGACTTTTTTAACTGTGGTCTGACTTCACAACTTAGGTTCTTTCCAGTGGACAAGCCATCCCTTCAGATATGCGGGACAGAGAAGGAAGGCAGGTTATATAGTTAGGCTCCTTGGTTTATGCGCTGCTGGAGGACAGAGACAACATCTGTGTGTTCTTATTCAGGGCTTGATGCAAAGTAGACACCCAGAGCATGTTTGTTGATGTGTGCCTGATTACCTGATCTGGGAATGATCAGTGGGATGCTTGAGAATGAAGCAGGGGGAAGACTTCTTTTTTTTTTAAGATTTATTTTGGGGGCGCCTGGGTGGCTCAGTCGTTAAGCGTCTGCCTTTGGCTCAGGTCATGATCCCTGGGTTCATGATCCCTGTGGGATCGAGCCCCACCTCAGGTCATAATCCCTGGGTCCTGGGATCGAGCCCTGTGTCAGGCTTCCTGCTCGGTGGGGAAGCCTGCTTCTCCCTCTCTTTCTGCCTGCCACTCCCCCTGCTTGTGCTCTTTCACTCTCTTTCTCAAATAAATAAAGGCAGAGATAGAAGCAGGCAGAGGGAGAAAGAGGTTCCCCTCTGGGCAAGGAGCCCGATGTGGGACTTGATCCTAGGACCCTGGGATCATGACCTGAGCTGAAGACAGACGCTTAACCCTCTGAGCCACCCAGGCACCCCGGAAGACTTGTTTCTTGTCAGCAGTGGCACTTGGCCTTAAGCCTGGGTAAGATTTGGGTGAGGGGGGGAGGGTAGAAAGGAAGAAGAGTACGGGCAAAGACTCAGACTGGACAGAGCCAGATTTGACTCTGTGGGGACAGTCATTCTGCTCTTTGTTCCCACAGACTCAGGGCTCAAGCCCAGTGACACTAGATCTCATCATTCCCTTCCTGAAGCCAGGGAGCTGTGTCCTGGTAAGGAATCCTGCCCTCACTCTGTACACATCCCCCTAGCATCTACTCTACAGGTGGCAGATGGGGCAAATCCAGTCTGCAAAAATGTTTGGTTTGGCCAGCATGGTGTTTGAAATTGGAATGAGTTGCTACCATTTAAATATTGGAGAGGTCATATTTTAAAAAGCTGATTTCTGGCTTCTCCTGGAAAAATCAGAAAACCTGGTACTCTGTGTCCACATTCAGGCATGGTGACAACGCGCTTGAGCTCAGTGGCATCTGATTACTTCATTCAGGGCCTGTGCCCTCCCGGTCCTCAGGGACGCCCTGGCCAACTTTAAGTTTATTTTTTGGGTTGCCACTCTTGACCTGTTGTGTGCCCAGCCAGAGCTGGACCAAACACAAACCCTGTGCTGGAGAAATTCCCTATCTAGGGGGACTCCCCTTCTCTGTCCCCACTCAACTTCCCCTGGGAGGAGGGGCTACCCTGGCTCACAGTTGGGGGGCTCTGTGCCCTCAGGTGTGGAGGTCAGATGTTCAGTTTTCCTGGAAGCACCTCTTGTGTCCAGATGGTGAGTTCTTGGGAGAGGAGGGGTGGGGTAAAAAGGAGGTTGGGCACTGAGGAGCCTGGCTTGGCCTCACCCTGCTTGACTCAGTCTCTCATAGACACCTGGGGCTCTTGATCCTGGCACTGCTGGCCCTCGCCACCCTGTTGGGCATTGTTCTGGTCTTCACCCGCCGGCGCCCACTGTCAGGTAAGCTCACTCTGGGTAACCTGAGGATTCAGATCTGCACAGGGCCTAAGCTAGTTGCCCCTCACCCTTCCCCTGCCTAGGCTCCCTTGCGGAAGAGCCATGCCGCTGCTGCTGCAGCAGGCTCTCTGCTCTCCAAGGTGGTGAGCCTCAGGCCCCCTAGTGGTCAGGAATGGTTAAGGCAGAGCAAAGGTCCCTCTGTGCAGATGGTTCACTGTTCGTGGTCTCTGGGAAGAGACCAGTGAGGCGGAAATCCAGTCGGCGCTGCACCTGCCAAACCTGGCGCCCTAGACCTGGCCCCTTCCGGACGCTTGTATCTAATTAGCCCAAAGACACCCTATAGGCTAACGTTGCCTTGGGTACTCACCCCTCCCCCCCAGTGCAGATAAGGAACCAGGTGGGGCACCGGATGAGTTAGCCCCAAGGCGGGGAGGAGAGGTAGAATGGGGGTGGAGTAGAGGAGGGGAAGTGCTGGGCTCTCCCTTAGACCCCCACCCTGTTCATCTGCTGCTCCCGCCCACAGGCCCTGGCCGAGCGCGGCCGGTGTTGCTCCTGCACGTGGCGGACTCGGAGGCGCAGCGGCGCCTGGTGGGAGCGCTGGCTGAACTGCTGCGGGCAGCGCTGGGCGGCGGGCGCGACGTGATCGTGGACCTGTGGGAGGGGACGCGCGTGGCGCGCGTGGGCCCGCTGCCCTGGCTGTGGGCGGCGCGGGCGCGCGTGGCGCAGGAGCGGGGCACCGTGCTGCTTCTGTGGAGCAGTGCCGGCCCCAGTCCAGCCCGCGGCCGGGATCCCCACTCGGCGCCCCTGCGCGCCCTGCTCCGCGCCGCCCCGCGCCCCCTGCTGCTGCTCGCTTACTTCAGTCGCCTCTGTGCCAAGGGCGACATTCCCCCGCCACTGCGCGCCCTGCCCCGCTACCGCCTGCTGCGCGACCTGCCACGCCTGCTGCGGGCGCTAGACGCACGGCCTTCGGCCGAAGCCACCAGCCGAGGCCGCCTCGGGGATCGGCCTTGCCTGCGGGGTCGCCTGGAGCTGTGCCACCGGCTGGAACGCGAGGCCGCCAAATTTTGCCAACCGAGGCTGAGCAGAGACAGGCGTAGGGGTACTGGCTGGACCCCCTGAATGAGCCTTCTACCCTAGAATCCTTGGGGTGCCTCCTCAGGACTACTGGCCCAAGATCCTTATGCTCTGTCTGCTAGCCTGGGAGCAGAGCACTTCCCTCGCTGTCCCAGCCCCTTCCCTACGTCTGGCTTCTTCCTCATGTTTACCCTTTCAGAACCAGCAGGGAGAGTCGCTGTTTACTGAGGGCTCCACTGCGCACAGTCCTGTTTGGGGTGGGGGACTCTTCCCACTTCTTTTCTTCAAAATTCCAGGAATAGTCTGCACATGCTCCAGTCCAGGCTAGGGAGGTGTGGGACAGAGGTAGGGGAGGCAGGAACGATGGCAATTCTGAGTGAGGGGTAACTCCAGTGGGGGGAGGGGGAGGGGAGAAAACCCCTTTGGTGGGGGGGGGGAGGCGGCAGGGATGCTGCTTTCTCGGACTGGAGCCCTGCCCAGGGGATGGATGGAGGGAGGGAGCCTGACCCAGGTAAAGAGGTTTTGGCCCTAGGTGTCCAGGGCGGAGGTGGGACAGTAGAAACCAAGATCAAGAAAAATGAATAAAGGTGAACATAATGGATAAGCTAAGAGACACAGTGTGCTTCTCTAGTGTGCCTAGGGTACTGAGTTGGAGGAGGGGTCAGCACAGCCCTGCCTGGGGGTTGTTATGCCTGTTTGTGGGCTCGAATCTTCCATGTCCACACCCACAACCACATCCTTCACATTCTCACAAGCAAAGCCTCTGAAAAGGCAAAGGAGGACCTGGAAATCTTGATCCTCACTGTAACAGGTTCAGAAAGGTCCATTTGTCATGCAGCCAGCACATGGCAACAGCACAAATGGGACCCCCGTCTGCCTGGCTCTGAGTCCTGAGTTCCTTCCCTCCCTACCACACTTGAGCAGAGGCCAGGAAGTGGTGAAAAGCCCACTTTCTGATGCCCTTTGTCCCTGCCTTTAGAGCTCCTGTCCCACAAAGGGTCACTGAGTCCCAGGGCAGGTGTGTGAAGGGACCGGGGGTGCCCTGTATGAGGGGACCTAATGGGCACCAAATCCCGGATTCATGGGGGCAGTGGAAATGCCCCAGCATTGCCCAGGCCCTCTTCCTTAGTGACTCCCCGGGGTGAGTAAGAGCTCCCTTACTCAACTGTGATGCCGCCACCCTCTTCAGGGGCCCCTCCCAGCCAGGTGTCAGCGGAGAAGGAGGAGGAGGAGAGGGAAAGGAGAGGAGGCCACCACCCCAGTCCAAGGCTGCTGGCTCCCAGGCCTGGTGTTGGTGGGAGGGACAGGGCGGGGCGGGAACAGCCAGCTGCCTGCCGGGAGCCAAACCGAAAGCACTCCGGCTGGACTGGGACAGGATTCAGGACTCCCAGGAGAGGGAGTGCTCAAGCCAGCACTGGGACCCCAGACTGAAGAGGGATTCTGGCCCCTCATGCCCACAGGCTTGGGGCTGAGTGGGAGCAGAGGTACGGTGTCTGCCCCCCCCTTTGGGGGGGGCAGGACAGGGCCTTGGGCCTTGGTGTCTCCTGGTACCTGGAAGATGCCTGTGCCTTGGTTCCTGTTGTCCTTGGCACTGGGCCGAAGCCCCATGGTCCTCTCTTTGGAGAAGCTTATGGGGCCTCAGGACACTGCCCGCTGCTCTCCAGTAAGTCTGGGGTACTGGGAGGGTTGGGGAAAGCTCAGGGTTCAGTCCGCCACCTATCGGAGGCCCTAGCCTGGCTCCTGTCACTGTCACTACCACCAGAACTGCCCTGGCTGGTCTGTCTGGTGCTGATGGGATAAGAGAAGAATGGGGAGGGGGCAAGAGCTGGATTTGTCCTCTCCTGGGAGGGGCTTGAATGGGGAGCCCCAGAAGGGTGGGCAGGGATACGAGGCAGGGAAAAAATGGCTAAATTCGATGGCATAAGCTCTGACTCGTCTTTACCTCCTTCCCAGGGCCTTTCCTGCCACCTCTGGGGTGAGTAGCCGTACTTTTGGAAAGGAAAGAACTGCCCGGGTTGGCAGAGGGAGGGGAGATGTTCCAGTTCTCTGCCCTCACCACCCACTCTCAGCCCAGGAAAGAGCCCAAAGCTCCTTGGCCCTCTGGGGGTGTCAGATGCAACTAACCTCTAGCTTCAGCTCCCACCCCACCCTTCATGCACAGATGGTGACGTGCTCTGCCTGCCTGGGAGCATCGTGTCTGCCCCGGGCCCTGTGTTGGTGCCCACACGCCTGCAGACAGAGCTGGTGCTGAGGTGCCACCAGGAGACTGACTGTGACCTCTGCGTGCGTGTGGCCATCCACTTGGCTGTGCATGGTGAGCAGGTCATCCCCTAACTGTATGTGCACACGTCAGCATGTCTGGGATGGGCACAAGGACTGGGGAGTCTGTCAGGCAGTCCTGTGCATCCTCAATGCTCTCCTGGAGAACACCGGCCAAAGGACCCCCAGGTCAGCCTGGTCTCCCTGTCTCCCCCCATCCCACCCCAAGGCCCCAGGCCTGGCCCCTGCTTCTCAGCACTGGGCTTTCAGGAAGGAAGCCAAGCCCAAAGCCAGCCCAGAGCCGGGGCCTGACCTGGGCCTTGTTCTCGGGTCCTTCTAGGGCACTGGGAAGAGCCTAAAGATGAGGACAAGTTTGGAATAGCAGCTGATCCAGAGCTTGAGGAGCCTAGGAACGGTGAGGAGAACCCGGCTGGCCCAACTGCCCCTAGCCAGGGCCTTGCCTGTGGCCCCGGAGCCTGACCAGTGACCCACCCTGTTGCTCACAGCCATTCTCCAGGCCCAAGTGGTGCTCTCCTTCCAGGCCTACCCCACTGCCCGCTGCGTCCTGCTGGAGGTGCAAGGGCGTGCTGCCCTCGCGCGGCCTGGTCAGTCTGTGGTATGCGAAATAATAATCGTGGCAGTCGCCGTCTTCTAAGTATGATGTCCTGAAGTGCTCTCGTGTGTGTGTTATGTCTGTGTGCTGACTCCGGCAGGGCTGTGGGCAAGCCCTTTCCGCCTCTGTTTTCCTGTCTGTAAAATGGGAATAAGAATAGTCCTATCTCATATGGCTATTGTGAAAAAAAGATGAGTCGGTATGTGTAAAACAGCTGATGTAATGCCTAGCACTGAAGGGTCTCAGGAGACTTCATTCTCCCTTTCTTTTGTAATCCTCAGAAGTACACATGAACTAGGCATTATTATTACCCTCATTTTCCAGAGAGAGAAACTGAGGTTGGAGAGGGGAAGGCTGTGGGCTGGATCCACTTCTCTGGACTTCCTGCTATACCATGTCTGCCCTGTGTGTTGACCGTGGTGAGGGGTGTTGGGGCTTCTCCCTACTTCAGGAGGCCACATGTGTTTGGAAGATGTAGCTCCACTTGGGCCAAATCACTCAAACCCTTTGACTTCCACTCCTGCCCCCAGCTCCCAGCCAATATCCTCTTGCCTGGAAAATTGTAGAATGGGAGAAAATCTGCTGGCCCACCTCAAGGGGTAGTTGTGAGGACCACTGAGGCATTGGGTGTGAGAAGGGGTGTCCCACATTTGTGTTGGGGTATCTGATCACCTTAACTTTGGCCATGTGATGTGGGACAACAAGGGTGGGGACAGGGACTCAAATAGCTACGGCCCTTATCCCTGCCCAGCTGATACCCCTACTGAGGGTGTGTGCTTTAAAGCTGGGGGCTTTTAAAGGAAACACTAATGGGAGAATTTCGGGCCTTACAGTATAGAGTCATTGGTTGGGGGAGGGGGTGAGTGGAGCCCTTGGCCTTTATTCTGAGCCCTATACCACCAGCCTTCCGCCACTCCTCTCCTCACAGGGCTCTGTAGTATTTGACTGCTTCGAGGCTGCTCTGGGGGCTGAGGTGCGACTCTGGTCCTACACTCAGCCCAGGTACCAGAAGGAACTCAACCTCACACAACAGTTGCCTGGTAAGTGGCCCCAGAGCCTCAGGGGCCCCAAGTCCTGCCCGCCCCCCAGTCTCTTTCTCCTCTGGCCACTGCCATTCTGCTTTCACCCCCTTCCTAGTCCCACCCACTCATAGGTAGGGGTCTGAGCTCCCATCTTCCCCAGAGTCTGTCCCTCTGTCTCTTCTCCCCAGGTGATATTGCTTCCCAATGCCTGAGGAAGATGCTTTGGGCACTAGATAGATGGGGTGGTATTTAAGGGACAAGGAGCCCTTCCCAGTGCTCCCTATGGGTTGGATTGCCCCCCTTCTTTCTTTGGCCCCCAGCCCCACTGGAGGCTTTTCTGTGATCTCTCCCCAGACTGCAAGGGGCTTGAAGTCCGGGACAGCATCCAGAGCTGCTGGGGTAGGGGCTATGGCCAGTAGGGCTGGGAGGAGGGAGGGGCAGGGTCTGGAGTGTGAGGGACCCTTGGAGGTGGCTTCAGGTCTGGGCTTGCCACAATCCAGATGCTCATAGAGCTCATTAATTCATCACACATCTGTAGTAGCTCCTACTCTGTGCCAGGCATTGGGAATATGAAACTGAATCTCTCACTCTTTATAACAAATTTATTTACTAGTACCAGGGACATCTAGAGGCCCAAAGCATTGTCAAGATTATGGTACACCCCACTATCCACTATATATCAAAATAAAAATAATATTAAACCATAAAATAAGGGCTAGGAAAGTCAAGGCTCTGATGATTTTTCCCAGGTACTATTTGAATTTTATTTTCACTTTGTTCATTTTTCGTGTTGTATTTTCTTTTTTACTGTGGTATAATACACATATAGAAAAGTGTGTAAAGTGCACTAATTTTAAAGTCCAGTTCAGTTAATTTTTACATATGTATACACTTGCATAACTATCAAGATATAGTCAAGATATAAGCAGTGTTGTTTTTGAAATCTTAAATTTTTTTTAAAGATTTTATTTATTTGTCAGAGAGAGAGAGAGCACAAGTAGGGGGAGTGGCAGGCAGAGGGAGAAGCAGGCTCCCTGCTGAACAGGGAGCCTGACGTGGGACTGGATCCCAGGACCCTGGGATCATGACCTCAGCTGAAGGCAGATGCCCAACCAACTGAGCCACCCAGGCACCCCAAACTCTTAAATTTTTTCAATTTTATTTCCTTTTTGGTTCCTTAAGTTTGGCCTGCCTCTTTGGTAATTCATTAGAGACGACTCAGCACCAGAGCTTTGAGGACACAGATATACATCATGCATTTCATGTCTTCATTCATTCAGTAGACATTGGTTCACTTATTTAACAGATATTTATTGAGTAGTTACTCTGCCCAAGAAATTATCCTAGGCACTGGAGATAAGTCAATAAACAAAACCGACAAAAATCCTTGCCTTACAGAGAGGACATTCTAGATGAGAGTCAGAGTCAGGATAGGGGTGATGGAGGACACAATAAACACATGGAGGTGTGAACTATGCAATAAGATGTGATTAGTGTGATGGAGACAATTTGGGGAAAGGAAGGAGTATAAGGGAGTTGGGAGTTGCAGCAGTCAGGGATGGCTTCACTCTGGTGAGCAAACACCTGAAGGAGGTATGGGAGGAGCCCTGTGGGTATCTGAGGGAAAAGCACTCCATATGCAGAGGGAAGAGCCAGTACAAAGGGCCTGAAGCAGGAGTATATCTGGTGTGTTTAAGTATGAGCAAAGAGGGCAGCGTGTCTGGGGCAGATTAATTAAGGACAAAAGTGCTAGGAAATGAGGTTCGAGTGCGTAGGGTCTTGCAAGCCATTGTAAGGACTCTGGCTTTTACTCTGGGAGTAATTTGGCAGGGGGTCATCAGAAGGTTCTGAGCAGAGGAGGATGATATATCTTACAGTGGTTACAGGATCCTTCTGGTTTCAGAAGGAGAAGAGTTGTGTCGAGATACCAGGCTGGCTGCTAGGGACAAAGTCTGGTCAGAGATGAGGACACAGGCTCTGCCCTCCAGGGCCTTCCAGTTTCAGGGATATGAAGGAAACTAAAGGGTCAGTCGGAGGGGTATGGCCAGGGGTGGGTATGCAGAAGAGGTGAAGGAAGTCTCCCTCTCTTTGCCTCCCCCCAGCCCTGCCCTGGCTCAGTGTGTCTGCTGATGGCGATGATGTGCACCTGGTGTTGGACGTCTCTGAGGAGCAGCACTTTGGCCTCTCCCTGTACTGGAACCACATCCAGGGCCCTACAAAACCCTGGTGGCACAGCAACCTGGTGAGGCCTCCTCCTCCCCAAGTCCATTCCCACTCTAGGCTGAGGCCCGTGCTAAGGATGCGAGCGCATTATCAGAGGGGACCCTTGAGGAGGATATAGCGACTCACGCCCCAAGCAAGGAACCTTGGTGGCACGGCTGCCTGCCTGGTTTCCTCAACTTTGGCTTCTGGCCTTCCTCCTCCTCCTCCTCTCCAACTTCTCGCCTTCTGCTTATCCCACAGACCGGGCCACAGAACATTACTTTGAACCACACAGACCTGTTTCCCTGCCTTTGTATTCAGGTAAGAGAAGAGTCCAGCCAGGTGCCAGGGGAAGGGGATTGGTGAGGGCGGTGGCCGTTACCCTCCTTGTCTTGCCGTCCTCCATATTCCTCTTTGAGGTGGGAACTGTTTCTCCCTAAGGTGACTAGCCCTTTCCTGACCTTTGCTGTCCTGTCTTCTGCCTGTTGCAGTCTCTGAATGCTCTTCCTGATCCTCTAGCCACAGGACTCCTACTCATTCTTCATGGCCCCATTCAAATGCCACCTCCTCCCTGAAGCCTTCCCCTAATCCTCCAACTGCCTCTTTGTACTCTCCTGGAAAGTAGAGCATGTGCTGTGAACTCAGACAGTTTGAATCCTGACTCTTGCCATTTGCTAGCTGTGTGATCTTGAGCAAGTCACTTCACCTCTCCGAGCCTGTTTCTTATTTATAAAATGGAAATAACAATACCAGCCTCATAGGACTGTTACAAAAGAAAGTATCCAAGCTTCTATATGTTGGCTCTTTCCTCTTCTTTTTTTTTTTTTTTTAAGATTTTATTTTTAAGTAATCTCTACACCCAGTGTGGGGCTCGAACTTAACAGCCTTGAGGTCAAAAGTCGCATGTTCTACCAACTGAGCCAGCCAGGCACCTGTCTTTCCTCTTCTGATTGCACATTTAAATGGTGATCAGGTCCCATCTATTTTATCTCTGACATTAATGCCTCTCATTTCCACTGCCTGAAATGCCCTCACTTCTTTTCTCTACAACCAAATCCTTCCAGCTCAAATGTTACCTCTTTCCCAAAGCTTTTCCTCAACTGTCTGGCCTCTCCTGTCTTCCAATCTTCTTGCACTTCTGTCTTTTCTTGTTCATTTATCACTTCCTTTCTTATTTGGGCACCTCATTTCTTCTTGCACACAACAGATGCTCAATAAATGAGTGATCAATTTATTAATTTATACATGTTTTATCCTTACTAACTTTGTAATTTCCTTGAAGGCAAGGAAATAATACCTAATTCAAATTTAGTAACTCCCCAGAAACTTGCACAATGTCTAGCATGTAGTGGGTGCTAATTATGTCTGTTAAAGGAATGAATGAATGAATGAATGAATGAAACTCTACTAACACTGTGATAGGACACATAACAGATGTTCATGAAATGTTTGCTCTGATATAAACATCCTTACTGCCAAGCACAATGCCTGCCACATGGTCTTAATTAAAAGTTTGCTGAATAAATTAATGTATTATTTCTACTGCTTACCACAGGGCTAAGCACAGAATAGATGTGCTTTAAAAGCTTATTGAAAGAAATGGGGTGTCTGGCTGGTTCAGTTGATAGAGCATGTGACTCTTGCTCTCAGGGTCATGAGTTCGAGCCCCACACAGTGGGTATAGTTTACTATATATATATATATATAGTTTACTATATATATATATATATATATATAAACACTTAGCACAATACCTGGCATATAGTGGGTTCACATGAAGTGACTGTGGATTTAATTATCAACATCCCTACTACCTACCATGGTGCTAAGACACATAGTAGGTAATCATTAAAAGTCTGTTGAATGAAGGTGTTGCCGGATATTGGTATAGGGTTTGCTGGAAGAATAAATGTGTGCAACTCTAGGGCTTTACAAAGGGCAAAAAGACTGGGCAAGTGTTGATGAAATATTAGTCGAATGAATGCATCCCCAGTGCCTAGCAGAGGGCCTGGCACATACTCTTGGAAGGTCAGCTGGGTTGAATGGACTAAATAGAACCCTGTTTCTTTTCCAGGTGTGGCCTCTAGAGCCCGACTCTGTCAGGACGAGCCTCTGCCCCTTTAGGGAGGGTGAGAAGACCAGGGCTGGGGCCAGGGTGGGAACGGTGTAGGTGGACACATGCTGGCCGCCCAGTGACCCAGCCCTCTCCTTGCAGATCCCCGGGCACAAGGGAACCTCTGGCGTGCAGCCCGGCTGAGGCTACTGCCCCCCCGGGGCTGGCAGCTAAATGCACCCTGTTCGCTGCTTGCTGAGGCCACTCTGTGTTGGCAGGCACCAGGTGGGGGACCCTGTCAGTCGCTGGTCCCGCCACTGTCCCGAGCAAATGTCACTGTAAACGTAAGTGAAGTGGTGGGAGGCTCCTGGGATCAGGAAAGGAAGGGGAGCTCAGGGGAGCACATTTCCTGACCTTACCCAATACCCTTTTTTCCACAGAAAACACTTGAGTTGCCATTGCTGAATGCCCACCCCAACCTCTGTGTCCAGGTAAGAAGGGGCACAAGAGCTCTGGGCTAGGGGCAGGACCCCAAGTGGACCCCCCCAAGAATTTACTGTCTTCTGGACCCAATTTATCCTTGGGTCACTGGAGCAAAGTTGTTATGGGCTACCTCTGGGAGTTGCATTATTTATTTAGCAGCGCTGTGGGACTCTGAGCAAGTCACTGCACCGCTCTGAACATCAGTCTCCTCATCTGTTTAACGGGGATGATAGTAACTACTTCACAGTAGTGAATAAAACCAATAAATATTCCCACCCTATAGAGCTTATGTTCTAATGGAGAAAGACAGGGGTGCCTGAGTGGCTCAGTCAGTTGAGCATCTGCCTTCGGCTCAGGTCATGATCCCAGGGTCCTGGGATCGAGTCCCACATTGGGCTCCCTGCTCAGCGGGGAGCCTGCTTCTCCCTCTGCCTGCCACTCCCCCTGTTTGTGCTCTCTCTCTCTCTCTCTGTCAAATAAAATCTTAAAAAGAAAATAATGGAGAAAGACTCAGACTGAGTGAATAATACAGTATCCAAGTGGAGTGGTCAGATGAGGCCTCTTGGTGAAGGTGGTTAGATGAGAAGGGAATGTAGGAAGTGCTTTGTCAGACATGAAAAGAGCTAATGTAGGGTCATAAGGCTCGTTAGCACAGATGCCCTTGCAAGGCTGAGGCTGAGAAAAACAAAGTATCTCTTAATCACCCAGCCTTGAACCCTGATCTGCCTAACACTAGGTCCAGGATGCAGAACCCTGCGTCCTCCCCTCCCCCCAGCCAGAGAGGCTTCCCTTACTGTCCTTCTCTTCTTTGTGGCCTTGCCTCTTGCTTTTCCCTGTGCCCCTAACCTTGGCTCCTTCTAAGCAGGTGAGCAGCTGGGAGAAGCTGCAGCTACAGGAGTGTTTGTGGGCTGGTGAGTGAAGCCTGGGGAAGGCTGGGGCAGGGCTATTGCAATAGAGGTGAACCCTAGAAGAGCCACCTCATGGGGGTTAAGGTCAGGCATGGGAAGGGGTGGGGGCAAGTGGCAGCCTCCAGCATGGTTGGGTCTCACTCAGAATGGGCTCTCACCCCTCCAGACTCCCTTGGGGCCCTCAAGGATGATATGCTGCTGGTAGAGACACGAGGCCCCCAGGACAACAGATCACTCTGTGCCTTGGAGCCCAGTGGCTGCACCCCACTACTCAGCAGGGCCTCCACGGTGAGGATGAGGGGACTCTCCTCCATGTACCTTTCCAGTTCCATCTCAAGCCTGGCCTCAAATTTCCCTCCTCTGTGCCAGACCCTGTGCTGGTCTCTGGGAATGTGGGGGTGACTCAGACCTAGACCCCGTTCTTAGTGACCTCTTACAAGTCTCCAGCGCCCCCCCACCACTATTCTGCTCAGCTGCAGCTTGGTGGTCTCCTAAGTGTGGTGCCCCTAGGTGACAGTCTCCCTTTGGTTTGGCAGAGGGCAGCTCGCCTTGGAGAGCAGTTACTACAAGACCTGCAGTCAGGCCAGTGTCTGCAGGTGAGTAGGTGGCAGGAGGGCCTTGCCCCAATGCCCAAGGCCAATAGGCCTAAAACTCTGTATTTAACTTCTTCCATCTCTTCCTGTGCCTAGCAGAAGGTACCAGGGAAACTTTCATTATTCCTAGGCAGGGGCCTCCTCACTGTCCCTCTAGTACCCACTCACCATCTATTTCTGCTTATTTTGTGTCCAGCCCTGGGGAAGCCAAGAATTGAAGAAGCACAGTTCCTGTTCCCAAGTTGCTCACTGCTGGCTAGAAAACAGTAAACAGATAACCAAATTTGTGCTAAGCACTGGGTTCCAGGGAGAGCTTCAAGGAAGGGTGATTTCACATGGGCCAGATCTGGCATGGAGTAGGCATAGCGTGATCAAAGGCAGAGCAGCTTGCGGGGACCTACAGTGTGTGTGTATGTGTGTGAAGTATGCATAGTTGAGGCTGGGAATTTGGAGATCAGGCTGGCCAGAACTTGGTGGGTGTTCTGGGGCTGTGGCCTTGGTTTTGTTTGTGTCTTACAGCTGTGGGAAGATGACCTGAGAGCTCTATGGGCCTGCCCCATGGACAAGTGTGAGTATTACAAGAACTGCCCTTTCCCTCTGTACCAAGGGCTGGAATCTAGACATTCCTACAGGGCACATGCAATGGCCTTGTCCTTCTCTGGCTCAGATCAATCAGAGGGACACTCCTTCCTTCATTCAAAAACCAAGAAGAGAGCTTACAGAGATTCAAGCATCACCAAAAGACACAATCCCTGTCCCCACCACAGCCATAGAAGGCTAGAAAGACATTAGCTAAACAATCACTTACATTTAGTAAATGTGAGCTATTGAAGCATTCACTATAAAGTGTCCAGATCCATAAATGCATATATTGGGGAACTGATTTAGGTGGGGTGAGGCCAGGAAAAGGTTCTGGCTGTTCTGAAGGCTGAGCTAGGTGAAGGGGGAGAGATGCTTTTTTGAGGAACTCTAAGGTAGCCAGGGAGGTTGGAGGATCTTGGAAGACAGACCTCTATCACAAGGATGCAAAGGCCATCTAGGGCTTTGGGAGCTGATGCAAGGAATTGGATTTTTTTTTTTTTTTAAGAGGGGGTAGGGGCAGAGAATCTTAAGCAGACTCCACACTCATGATCTCACAACCCTGAGATCGTGACCTGAGCCAAAATCAAGAGTTGGACCCTTAACGGACTGAGCCACCCAGGTGCCTCCTAGGAAATTAGATTTTATGTTAAGAGCAGTGGGAGTTTCCTGAAAGGCTATAATCAAATTTGTATTTTAAAAAGATCTCTGGGGCTGCCATGTAGTGAAGGACTTGGAGGTAAAAAAGAGGTTAGGGACTCCAGTTAGAAGGCTGTTGGAGTCATCAAGAGAGTGAGGTCAAAGGCCCAGCAACCCCAGGCTTACGAGACAATTAGCTGACATTTGAGAGCTTACTATGCCCAGCTTAAGTGCTTTGTGTGTATTAATATATGTAGTCCTCACAACAACCCTATGAAGTAGGAACTATTGTGAACCCAGTTTTACAGGGGTGAAAACTGAGGCAAAAGGTGAAGTGACTTATCCAAGGTCACCCAAATAGATGGATCTATGTCCATATACTGACTCTGACACTCTATGCCGTGGATTTGGGAAAAATCTTTCCATTCCTCTGAGCCAGTTCAGTCGCCACATGGCAGCCCCAGAGATCTTCTAAATGAGTTTTCTCCTTCCCGAAGTGAGTTGAAAGTGTGAGGTATCTAACTAGCCTGTCCTCTCCCCTGGGTCTCCTAGACGTTCACCAGCGCTGGGCCCTGGTGTGGCTGGCCTGCCTACTCTTGGCCTCTGTGCTTTTCCTTCTCTTCCTTTTCAAAAAGGACCACGTGAAAGGTGAGCACTTCCCGACCCCCCAGGGCTGAGAGTTCCCCTCGAGAAGGTGGCGGCCTGGCGGCCGAGCTCATGGGCCGCCCCCGCCCCTCTCCCCTAACAGGGTGGCTGAGGCTCTTGAAGGAGGACCTCCGCGCGGGGGGGTGAGTGTGAGCAAGTGCCGGGCGGGGGGCCGCCCCCAGCGGGCCGGGCCTCGGGCCTTCTCACGTCTTCCTTTCCCCTCTATTCTCTCTGGCAGCTGCCGCCAGGGCCCGCGCGGCTCTGCTCCTCTACTCCGCGGAGGACTCGGGCTTCGAGCGCTTGGTGGGCGCCCTGGCCTCGGCGCTGTGCCAGCTGCCGCTGCGGGTGGTCGTGGACCTCTGGAGCCGTCGTGAACTGAGTGCGCAGGGACCCCTGGCCTGGTTCCACGCGCAGCGGCGCCAGACCCTGCAGGACGGCGGCGTGGTGGTTCTTCTCTTCTCGCCCGGGGCCGTGGCGCTGTGCCACGAGTGGCTGCAGGACGGGGCGGCAGCGTCCGCCCCGCACGGCCCGCACGACGCCTTTGCCGCCTCGCTGAGCTGCGTGCTGCCCGACTTCCTGCAGGGCCGGGCACCCGGCCGCTATGTGGGGGCCTACTTCGACGGACTGCTCCACTCGGAGGCCGTACCCGCCCTTTTCCGCAGCGTACCGGTCTTCTCCCTGCCCTCCCAGTTGCCCGACTTCCTGGGGACCCTGCAGGGGCCTGGCTCCCCCCGTCCCGGGAGACTCGGGGAGAGGGCGAAGCAAGTGTCCCGGGTCCTGCAGCCCTCCCTGGACCAGCTGCTTCAGGCTCCCGGAGCTCCCGGGGCTCCCGGGTATCCTGGGGACTGCACGCGGGATGGCACGTGAGGCAGGGGCGACGACTCGAATAAAGGCAGACCCTATTTTTCTACCCGTGTCTCCGGCATGTGTCTGTGACAGCGTCGCTGCTCTAGCACGTCGCCCGAGGCCCTTTAACACCCGGACAGGTGCCGCTCGGCACCAACTGCGGGTGGCTGACGTGCGGTGACGCAATGGCACATGGACTGCCACCATTGGCTGGGGGTGGGCCCCGCCCCCCAGGCTGCGGAGCCGGCCGAGGCAGCACGTCTTACGCAGGCAGCGACTGCTGCGGCGTTGGGGAGACTGAGCGGTCGGCGCCAGCGGGCTGGGTGGGTCGTCTCTTCCTCCCACGCAGCCTACGCGGGTCTGGATCCTCCCCTGCCTGCTCGTGGCGGCGCTTTTGCAGCCTGCCGGCCGCGAGCCTCACCCCCTTCTCTTCATATCCGGATCCGGGCTCCTCCCCTCTAGACTCAGGTTCCTTTCCAGACTCCTCCCCCCGAGACCGCCCATCCGGCCTCTACTCCCCTAATACTTGGACACTGACCCATTCTCCCAAAGTCCGCTGATCCTGGCCCTAATAACCCGTATTCAGACTTTAAAACAATGAGTTGACTTCTTCCTTGCACCTCTCCCACGGTGAGGAGGATAACTCATTCCCGTCTTGGAATTGCAGAACAGGCTCCTTCCTCACCACTTCCCCTCCCCCGGCCGTCCCCCAAGTCTAGCCTCCTTATAATAACACAGATCTGGGCTTCCAGACCCGCGGCACCCCCGAACCAACGCTCTTTCTCACCTGGCTCCTCCAGTGAGTCATTCCCCATTCCCTTTATCTACAGGTTCCCAGCCTGGGAAAAGATGGCCTCACTGCCCCGGAGGGGCCTGGTCCCACCTCCGCTCTGGGGCTTGAGTCTCTTCCTTAGCCTCCCAGGCCCCATCTGGCTCCAACCCTCTCCGCCTCCCCAGTCTTCTCCCCCAACTGAGCTGCATCCATGTCATACCTGCCGGGGACTGGTCGACAGCTTCAACAAGGTGGGTGCGCTAGCAGCCTTGTGGGAGATGGCCTAAACATGATAGCACAGGGGTTTGAGAGGAGTTGTGGGATGCAAGTCTGCATGAGTCAAGTACCAGCTTTGTTGCTTACTAGTTGTATGACCTTGGGCAGGTTGCCTCTCTGTGCCTCAGGCCCCTGGTCAGTGAAATACCGAAGTGCTAGAAGGTGCCAGGCACTGTACTTAGCTATTACTCATGTTCTCCATTTCCAGGGCCTGGAGAGAACAATCCGGGACAACTTCGGAGGTGGAAATACTGCCTGGGAGGAAGAGAAATTGTCCAAATACAAAGACAGGTAAGGGGCTGGAGAGGTGGGTTTGTATACCTCACCTCCCAATCTCTGCTCTACTGGTGGGGGCCTAGAGACTCTCAAATATCACTGAGCATCTATAGTACAGCAGTAAATAAGGCAAGCAAAGTCCCATCTTCACGGAGCTTACATTCTAGTTGAGGAGACAGTGAATAAGTAAATAAATAATGTCATATCAAATGAAGAACAGGAAAGCAGGGTAGACTACAGAATGGTGGGAGGCGTGGAGTTCAAGGTGTGACGTTTGAACAGAAACCTGAAGTGAAGAAGCAAGCTCTGTGACAGGGAAGGGATTTGGACAGAGCGGGACTGAGCTTGGTGTATTTGAGAAGAGGCTGGCTGGGACTGAGCAGACGAGAGTCGTAGAACATGAAGCCAGAGTGCCTTGAAGGTCACAGAATGGTGTTTAGATTTCGTTCTGAGTGTAATGGGAAGCCATTGGAAGCTTGGGAGCAGAGAATTGATGTGGTCTTATTTTTACTTTTAAAAGATCACTCACTGCGAGGTAGCAAAATGGCTGTAGGGGCTGGAGTGGAGGAAGCAGGGAGACCATTTGGGAGCTAGTGTGGTGTCTAGTGGTGGACATGGTGAGAACGGGTCAAATACTGGGTATATTTTGCAGCTGGACTGATAGGGCTTGATGATGGAATCATTATGGGGTAGGAGGGAAAAAGAATAACAAATACTTACTAGGTTTTGGGCCTGAGCAATATTTTCTGGTATGGGTGAAGGTGAGGCAGGAGAGGATTTGGGGGGCGGGGCGTGGGATTAGGTGTTCTTCTTGAACATATTGGGCTGGGATGTCCATTAAACAGCCTAGTAGAGTTAAATTTAGGCGTCTGAGGTTCAGGGAAAAAGTAGGAGCTAGAAACCTGAGTTTGGGAGTCATTAGCATAAAGCCGTGGGATGAGATGAGACCATGAGATGAAAGGCCTCAGTCCTCAAAGCCCTCCTGCTCTTCAAAGTCAAGTTGAGGAGAAGGAATCAGGAAGATTTTGAGTTAGACAGACCTGGTTGTCAGTTCTGACCCTGTGTACCCTTGGGAAGGTCACTTAGCCTCTCTAAGCCTCAGTTTTCTCATCAGTAAAATGGGGATATTAATACTTGCTTTGCCTATTTCATAGGATTGTGGTAAGGATTAAACTGTGATGCCCACTAGATACAAAAGATTTTGTTATTATGTAACATTGGTCATTTTCCTTTCCTTTAATGGACCTCAGTTTCCTCATTTAGGAATGAGGGGATTGGCCAAGGATAACCCGAAGGGCACATCTAGCTGTATAATGGCTCCTGTTTTTTGTTTGTTTGGTTTTTAAGTCCTCTCCTCCTATATGCCAGGCACATGCCAGACCCTTTAAATACGTAATATATGTGTGTATGTATATATGTATTTAAAAAAAAATTATCGTAGTAAAATATATATAACGTAAAATTTACCACTGGAGACATTTAGTACATTTACAGTGTTTTGCAACCTTTACCACTGTCTCATTCCAGACCATTTTTAATCACCCCACAAAGGAACTACATACCTATTAAGCAGTCAGTCCCCATTCTCCCCTTCCCCCACCCCCTGGCAACCATTACTCTGCTGTGTCTGTGGATTTGCTGATTCCATTGGAATCTATATGTGTCTGGTTTCTTTCACTTAGTGTATTGTTTTCAAGGTTCGTCCATAATATAACATATGTCAGTAGTTCATTTCTTTTTAAAGCTTAATAATATTTCATTGTATGGATTTACCACATTTTGCTTATTCGTTCTTTAGTTGATGAACATGTGGGTTGTTTCTATCTTTTGGCTATTGTATATAGTATTGCTACAAATGTTTGTGTACAAGTTTTTGTTTGAACACCTGTTTTCCATTCTTTGGGGTATATAACCAGGAGTGGAATTATTGATTCATATGGTGATCCCATGTGTAACCTACTGAGGAAGCCAAACTGTTTTCCACAGTGGCTGCACCATTTTTCTTTCCCATCTTCAACGTAGGAGGGTTCTAATTTCTCCACATCCTTGCCAACACTTGTTATGTGATGTATTTTTAATCACATATACCCAGCAAGGGTATCATATTCCATTGTGCAAATGCAGGAACTGAGGTGCCCTACGACAAATCTGCAGGGCAGATATTGTCTCCATTTTACAGATGAGAAAACAGAGGTTCAGGAGAGGTTAAGTGACTTGCCCAAGGTCACTCAACTAGATTCGAACCCAGTATCTGACTCCCCAAATCAGTATGCCCTCTCGCCTTTCCTTTGATGTCATGGCATGAGGGGGGTGGGAGAGGAGACCCTAAAAGAGGGTGGTGGATGGGGTAGAATATAGTCCTATCACCTCCACCCTGTCTGGTCAGTGAGACCCGCCTGGTAGAAGTGCTCGAGAGCGTGTGCAGCAAGTCGGACTTTGAGTGCCACCGCCTGCTGGAGCTGAGTGAGGAACTGGTGGAGAGCTGGTGGTTTCACAAGTGAGTTGCTAGGGGGGCTTCCCAGGGAGGAGGCCACAGGCAGGGCCTGGTGGTAAAGGAGGGGGTTGCATGCTTGGGTCTATGTCCTGGTTTGGCTCCTTCTTCCAAACCTAGATCTCCTAAGGACTTGTGGGGGGATCCACGTTCTCACTCTGAGCTTCAGTTTACTCCTCTGCCAAATGGGGAGAGGGTGTTGGTCAGGTAGCCTTATGGGTCTTCTATCTAGGGTGGGTTGTATCACAGATTCTTTGGGAGGCTGGGGGGTGGGCAGCAACTCTGGCTTGGTGTCAGCCCCCCTTACTGTCATCCCCACCCCCCTTACCCCCTTCAGGCAGCAGGAAGCCCCAGACCTCTTCCAGTGGCTCTGCTCAGATTCCCTGAAGCTCTGCTGCCCCTCAGGCACCTTTGGGCCCTCCTGCCTTCGTGAGTTTTCAAGCTCCTCTCGGGGGATGAGAGGGGACTGCCAAGGCCAGGGATCCAGTCCTGGCTCTGTCCCATAACTGGCTGTGTGAGCCCAGGTTGCTCAGATAATTTCTCTGGACTTTAGTTATCTGCTTCACAGGGCTGTTGAGATGAGCAAATCAGGGGGGAATGGCTGTGAAAAAAAGATAAGAGGACTAGACAGTCAGATGGGACTGGGGTTTTTATCATGCCTGTGAGAAATGCCCCCTCCTCCCACCCCCATTTCCCATGCCTGGATCAGATCAGGCCCATCCCCTGGACTAAGGTGACCTCCCTAGGGACAGGCAGGCACTGCTCTGAAGCCCCCATTGTCACCTTTTTCTACACACAGTCCTGAGGGAGGAGCTGTACTTACTACCAGCCCCTTTTAGAAAAATCTCTCTGGAAGCTTCAGATAAAGACTTAGTGACACAAAGAATAAAAAATAAATAAATTGAAAACAAACAAAAAAAGGGAGTTAGTGACAAAGATGATTCATTCAGTCTTTCTAAAAGGAAAGATCTGTAAATAATCTGTTCCACAGGAGGGTATTGGTTAAGTACGTGTCACATAAAGTATTATGTTGCCATGAAAATTAAGTTTCCTCTCCAAAAATGTTTAATGATATGGGGGAATATTCTCTGTATTCATGATTGTATCTGTGATGTTACCTGGTTTGGTGTCTGCCCACAGCCTGTCCTGGGGGCGCAGAGAAGCCCTGCGGTGGCTACGGGCAGTGTGAAGGGGAAGGGACGCGAG